GAGAGATTAATGGTTACTTGTCGACATTGTTGGCATTAAAATAATTTCTAAGACTATTAAAAAGCATTAAATTAGAGTTACTCATTCCTGTATGAGACCCGTATGTAACATATCTGATGAAATAGTTTTTATAAACTTTTTTTTTAAATAAAGCATTATAAATGCAGCAATAATCACGTTTAATTAATTTTAATGCCAATTAAGGCCTTAATTTAAATAAAATGTAATGACGTAATGTTTTTTAATGACCCAGGGACACTGGTTACAGATGAAAGCGGTTTTAACTGGTATTGAATCTTTGTCATCTTGCTAGTGGCGTCAGCTGTAAGTGAGACTTCTGCTCCTGAGGTTGATGGTTCAAAACCAACTTCTGACTTTTGAAAGTTGTGATACAACTTTATTTTTTGGCTAATGTGACTAATTAGTATTGGTTTGCCCCCAGTACAAATATAGATTGGGTAAAAAAACCCTGCCAAAGTTAGTTTGGTTGGTTTGACCAAAAGATTGGTTAAATACATAACTTCCAACCAAATTAAAACAAAAACTGTGGAAAAACTATTATGTTTGAATAAAAACGACTAACACCTTTCATTGTGCTCATTATTTCTCAATTTGCACGCTTTCACTGTCTGCTTCAGTTTATTTCACTAAAATGGCAGAAAAACAGTGATTGTTTCCTTCTAATATATTTTACACACAAAAAACTTACAAAAGATTTTATTATACAGATCAATCATTAATAATTTCAAAAGAACTTATGAGAAAAAAACAAGAAAAACAATTTAAAAAAATCAGATTCTATTACTAACTGTAGTCCTACTTTCCACCAGTAGGTGGTGACCTGTTCACATGAGGCTTCATGAACTATCGGTTCAATCTGAGCCTCATGAGGCCTCATCCCACCGTCACTATGTTACTATCTGTAAAATGGCTGAGCTCAGAGCAGCGGGGGGGCGTCCCAGAGCTCAGAGGGTCCCAACCAGTGATGCTAAAACAATCAACACTTTATGCTCGTATGCGCATGCTCTGTGTGAGGGATTGCTGAAGAGTCAACAACAAAATGCAAGAGAATATTGCAGCTGCAGATTCATCCAGGTGAAGCATGCCTCGCAAATCTACTGGTTTTCCTTCGTAGAAACCTGTAACCAGTCTGAGTGAATTGGCTCTAGAAAAGGCCTTGAGATGACGTGTTGGGAATTGGATTATAGAAATAAACTGGATAGAATTAAACTGAGTAGAATTCAACATGACAAACATTTACCACTGGCAGCAAACCAGGGCTGTCAAAACTATTAATGTTTGTTGCTAAAGTAGAAGTATAAATCTAATATTTCAAAATACTTTAATAGAATTTGTCACGGTTGGACCCAAATGCAGAGGTGAGTTTTTCTAGATTTAATCAATTAACTGAGGCAAGAATCCAAAAACCAAAGTATCAAATACAAGGAACCAAAAACTCAGGTGGGAACAAAGACAGGACTAATGAGCTGATTGGGAGCAGGTGTGGATGGAAGCATCTAGAAGGAAGCCAAGGGGAAAGGAAACAAACACAAGGGGGCAGCAGAGTAACTCCAGAACAAACGATTGCTAGAAAACCTTTAAAAATACAAAGAAACTAAAAATAAACAGAGGGCAGAACCCTGACGGAATTTAGAGGATAAACTTCAGCTTTTTACTCCAGTAAAAGTATAAAAGTATAAATGAAACAAACTAAGGAGTTTATAATGTAAGGTGTAGGAAGTAGAGATAATTGCAAAGATGTGTAAGGAGTAGAAGTAAAAATGGTCTAAAAAAGTTTTACTCCAATATAAAAAGCCAAGTAAAGTAATGAAGTATTTGTACTTTGTTAATTGACGCCTCTGCAGTAAAAATGAGCAAAAATGTCTCTGGATCAACTAAGAGGTGAAGATTGTGGTGTTTGGCTGCAATGATTATAATATCTTTACTTCTAGACGTTCATTTTTAAGATGTTTTTCAAATCTAAATTCAGATTTTTTTTATCCTTAAGAGTGAAAATTCAAATGCATTCCTTCAAAACCTGAAATAATAATTACATTAATAATAATGTAAATGCCTGACTGTAAAATGCAAAAAAACAAACTTCATGGTATTAAAGTTTTGTGCTGCTGGCATTGCTTCCCTCTCATAGTAACTAACTATCCTGACTCCCTCTGAAGGGTGCTTGTTAACCATTATCCTCCTGATGAGGGCACTAGACCCTCTCGGCTACGAGAAGGAGACCCTTGCTCATTTCCAGACACTCAAAGTGAGTACCAGCCGTACGCGCCGTAAGTGTGTTTGTTCAGACCGCGGCCTGAGCGTGCTCCTCCTTCCTCCTTCAGGACGTGGACTCCATGCGCTCGGCGTATTACAGTGACCTGTGCAGCAAGTTCATGATTGAAAACACCATCCTGAAAATGGAGTATGCCGAAGTGCGAGTCTTCAGTATTTCTGACAGGGTTGGTCCTGATTTTTTTTAATAAATAAAAAGAAAAAAAAAAATATTTTTTTTTGTCAAAGGAGAAACTGAAAAGCAATTTCCTGTGTGTCTCCAGAAGCTGACCACATTATGCCACCTGGACCAGCTGTTATTAGTTACTCACATCAATTTGTCGTCCAATCAGCTGCAGCAGCTGCCTCCTCAGTTTGCTATGTTGCAGTGCCTTGAGGTGAGGATGCCACCAATTTTAG